CATACGCTTTCAATTCTTCTTCACATGACCTCCTCCAAGTCACCCTTACACTGACGACCAACTCGCCGCTTCCCTTTCGGCCGGGTTCCAATCGAGAGATGGCTTGTCTAGTGATGTCACTCACTTGATGGTTTCCTCAGAGTATGGCCAATCCCCAACCATTTCTCCCTGCCTATTTGTTTCACAATCGGTTCCTGGTTGGTTCGCTCCCAGAGATCCCTATTGCTGATCTTTTCTGACCAACCATCGGATCTTGAGTATTGAGCGAAGACAACTGTTAATGAAGGTGTGTAGTTTGTTTGAGATGCTCTTTATGACACACAGTGCAAGTCTCTGATCCGTAGAGTGAGTAGCACTGACTTCACATTGGAGTTGAAAATCCGGATCTTATTTTTGATGCTGAGTGCTGTTGACCTCCACACAGACTTGAGAGTAATGAAAACTTGTCTTGCTTTCCCGATCCTTGCTTTGATATCCTCGTCAGTTCCGCCTGTAGTTGAAACAATGCTTCCCAAGTAGGTAAAGGAGGTAGTTTCTTTCAGGTTCCTATCCATTTATGCTGATTGCTGTCTGTTGTTGTTGCTGTGGCTGTTGGTGTTGGCCAGGAATCTTCATCACCTCCGTTTTCTCTATGTTCACCTGGAGTCCTATCTTTGATGCTTCTTCTGCCAACTTGTTACTTTTCACTTGCATATCTTCGAGTTTGTGGGAAATCAGACATATATCACATTGGCGAAGTCCAGATCCTCCAAGTTCTTTGTGTGAGTCCATTTTATGCCTGTTTCCTCATCGCCCGCTGTTTGTTGCATTATCCAATCTACTGCAATCAGGAAAATCATGGGCGATAGTAGGCAACCCTGTCCTACTCCTGTCTTCACTTCGAAGGATTCCGTGAGCTTCCCGTTGTGGATTACTTGGCATGCATATTCCATATTAGATAAGTTTATTTCAAACATCACACATTATTGATGAAATACTAACAACTGGATGACGATACGAGTACAACTTATTGTTGCTAATTGTCATATCAGTTTAGTCACACGGCTTCACAGTTTATCATATGCATAACTATTCTCTCTGTCTCTCCATCTTCTTCTTGTTGTTTGTTGCCGCTTTCCATATCTCCGGTAAAGGTTTTGCGTCATTCCGACTGCAAGTGTGCGGTGGTGAGTCGATAAACAAAGATTCAGTGACTAACCTCAGTCTCTCTCTCTCTCCCTACACCTAACTAAATTACTCTTGAATACGTTTACCGAGAACTTTCGTCTGGGTCTTTTAACTTGGCATGGTCAATCATTCACGGTCTAGCTAAATTTTCATGTACTTTGAATGGACATTGGTAACTACTTTCATGTGTTTGAACCTTTCTTTGGTACAGACTGAATTCTATCAGTCAGGTTTGCAATGTAGCCACCATTATAGGTAGCTCACCATCAGGGTGCACATTGATTTGAGGATATTAAATGAAAGCACTAGACACATCACACTAGTTACTAGTGTTCATTCACGGTATCCATTACAGTCCTACATGAGGTCAATTGTGAGCGCGAACAGTTCAGTGGTAACGTCTCTGACTGAAGGCAGTACTGAGTGATGCGGGTTCGAGTCTCAGAAGGGACATGAGATACGCCTTGCTGACTATCTGGTGAGTGCCAACTATCATGAAACCTAGATCAAGTAGGGCTTCCTGCTGATCGCCCCCAACCATCTAATAAATTTCCGTGCTCCACTAATCTAGTTGACCACGATCTACTTCTAGTTTGACCTATATAACTGATCCCACTCATAGTCAGCATTACATGGTATTTGGTAAGTCCTATTATTCCCCTTAATCGGATCTATCGGATGGGTCCCAAAGCCAACAAAGTTTTAACTCTTAGAGAGTCAGTTGGTTGGTTGGTTTAAACGCCACCCCGACTAACTACAGCCTTATTGAGAATCCAACGTAAGGCTTCTTCTCATGTCCCTTCCTTTTATAGCAGAACTATAGAAGCTTTGAATTCCATATCATTTTCTTTATTCTCGTCAATTTTATGGCTGGTTTCATTTTTTCCATGGTACTTCATACATTTCTGAATAAATTTTGGTAGGCACTTTAGTTGTTCACTAGTAATATTTCCTTTATTTACAAACACACATTGAGGTGGCCCAAAGCGGCAGTTTATCCTTCACACATCCGTTGATCATTTGTCGGCTGTAAAAGTTGATACGTAGCTCAGCCATAAAGAAGGCTTTCCTCAGGGATCTGCATCAGTGATTCTTCAGGATCTCAGCTGCGGTATCACCTTTAAATTCAACACTCATAAATAGTAGTTTCTTCGGCACCGTCTGTATTCTTTCAAGTTTTTCCCTTGGTTTCATGTTTTTCTCGATAAATCTTGGAGGATATCCATTCTCTACGAGGACTTGTCTGAGTCGCTCCAGTTCTCAAGCGGTTGTATCCATTTAACATATCCTCCTTATTCTTGAGGATAAGGAATGGATCCTACGTAAGGCTTCTTCTAGTATCCCTTCTTTTTACAGAAGTACTATAGAGGCTTTGAATTCCATAATATTGTCGTTATTTTCGTCAATTTTATTGCTAGTTTCATTTTTTTCCATAGTACTTCATACATTTCTGAATAAATTCTGGTGGGTGGTTTTGTTGTTCACTAGTAATATTTCCTTTATTTGTTCGATTGCATTATTTAAATTTTTTGGCCTACTTGTTTGGCTCTCTCCTGGTGCATTTATATAGACATTTAACAAAACCAACCTAGGTGTACCGATTCTGGATGGGATGAATTAAAGTCTAAGTATTTTGTATTAGAGTTTGTCTACTTCCCATAAATGTTAATATCTAATCCACCATCGTGTTTTCGTTTTATTCTACAATCTAGCATGATCAACTCACCATGTTCGTTGTTTTCTAACTCCGAAGTGAATTGGATCCCGTCTACTATTGACTTCATATGTGCGTGTGTGTATATGTGTGTAGAAGTGTGCCACATGTTCCGATTACAACACAGTGAATGAATGTTTCATCCACATACATATCTCGCACATAACCTAGCAGTAGGATTAAACGTTCTAAGAGCTTTGTGATCCCAACTGTCCATAAATATGTCGGCTACTACTGCTGGGGATATCGGTGATCCCATCGCTAACACATTCCTTGGTTCATATAGTTCATTTTGAAATTTGAATTACATCCCGTACTGTGTCACGATAATGGTACAAATTTCAACCAGTGACGGTGAGTTTGTGAATAAATAATCATGATAATAATAATATGTTAAATGTTTTGAACTTCAGTAATAACAATGATTATAATGATAACAAAAATACTCATGATAATAAGGTTTACGCAGGTGGCGATAAGAATAACGAAGGTAGTAAGTAATGTGTGTATATGTAGACAATTTATTCAATAAATTAGGTGAAATCTTAAAAGTTACGTAATACTAGAGGTGAAGTGGACAGATAATCAGAGTTTAAATAAATATCATAAAAGTATGAAGGAAATGGAAATTAAGAGACGGTGGGTTGGAGGGTTTTAATTAGAATTTACCCAGACCAAGGGAGTCAGAGACAAAGGTAGAACAAACTTCTTTTGTTGTATGCAAAGACTAGGATTGTTCTCTCAAATTAATTCCCATTAATTCAGCTTTGTGTGTGTAGAAAGCAGGTTCAAATTTCGTTCAATAGGCTCGATGGAATGTGTGATAGATAACTTTGAAGGCACTAGTTCTTTCCACCTGGTGACCACTATCATCAAGTTGGCCTTTTTTGAACCATCAAGAAAGATGCTGTATACTGTTATGAAAATAACCAACCAACAACAACAACAACAGCAGCAGCAACATCCAGCGCCAATCACCATCAACGGGAGGGATTTGAAAGAGATTACTTCTTTCGCTTATCTAGGGAGCATTGTCTCAACTACAGGTAGAACAAACGGACGAGGTTGTCAAATCGAGAACCGGGACGGTGAGAAACACATTCATCAACCTGAAACCAATCTGGAAATCTTCGTCACTCAGCAACACTCAACAACAAAATTCGGATTTTCAATACAAACGTCAAGTCAGTCAGTTCTTCTATACGGATCAGAAACTAGGCGGGTCACAAAGAATATTTCCAACAGCCTGTTGCAGACCCTTTACCAACAACTATCTTCGTTCTATACTGAAGATCAGATGGCCGGAAAGAACAAGAACCAACAAGAAACTATGGGAACAAACGAAACAAGAACCAATCACCCAACAAATATGCAGGATAAAGTGGAGATGGACTGGACACTCGCTGAGGAGGCCGCTGGGTGACATCACGCGTCAGCCTATTGCTCGAGTGGAACCCGATAGGGAAGCGGCGAGTGGGATGTCGAAGGGTGACATGGAGGAGATCGTGTGAAGAGGAGTTGAAACAGTATGGACTAACATAGACGCAGGTGAAAAGTACAGCAGAAGACAGAAGCAAGTGGAGGCGTGCAGTTTAAGCCCTATTTTACACTAGGAACCCAAGGGAACAATAATAATAATAATAAGGAAGATGCTCATTAATGCCACCTATATAGGTCTCTTCATAGGAGCAGCTAAATTTGTAGATACACATAGAAGTGGCACAGCTAACTAGGTAGCTTGTCTCTCACTTGAGCAATCATAATTGGTTGGCAGCTGGAAAATGACAATCAAAGAGTGGCGGCGGCAGTATAAGTCCGTTTTATTGCTCTCGATAATATTAGATGTAAGAGTTCACCAGCCACATCCCTATTAAATTGCATATTCACATAATACTACCTTCGTTATTCTTTTAGCCAACTGCCTTAACCTTATTATTATGATTATTTTTGTTATCCTTATAATCACCGTTAATACTGACGTTCAAAACATTTATGATTAATATTATTTGATCCACAAACTCACCGTCATTGGTTAAATTCTCTTTATATATAAAATTATACAAATCATTTCATCATTAGTTAATGTTATGTAATCATAATTGAGTAAATTATGACTGACCTTATCTATAGCAAATTTCTTCGTTCTCTTATTCAACCAAGTAACTTCTCCCACGGAACTATACAGAGTTTCCTTTATTTCTTTGACGATATCGAACACCTGTGGTGTTTCATTGAGGTGAAAAGAAAGGAAATACAATTAGGGTGTGCAGTATATGAACGGCATCACTGAAGTTCTTGACTGAAGAGGTTAGAAAAATGAAGAAGCCTGCAGATGATTGCATTACTCAAAAGCCTAATAATTGTATGAAAAGAATATTAACTGAGTTGGATCCCCACGGATATATTCGATATTCATTGAGTAACGAAGAAGACTGATAGGACTTTGAACAGATGCCCATTTATTGAAAGCCTACGTGGAGAGACCTGTTGACAAACGCTCAAAAGTTCGGCGGTCATTAATCACAATCAAAACCTAATAATACATCTCTTGCGACTGGGATCCGAAGACTCAGCATCCGCGAATCGGTAGAAGAATATATCACTGTCTTTTGAAGAAGTCAACACTTGATGAGAATCGCTACCTCCGTGACTCCCACGCACGATTTATAAATAAACACATAAAACGAAGAAAAACCAACACAGAACACCTCAGCTGTGTGCTGAAGAAGATGCTATACATGAATGTGTCTTTCGAATGTGACTTTGTGGCCCAACGACGTGTAAAGAACATTTTTTGCTGCTACACCATGATTGCTATTCTCTTTCCCGCGCTCACTGTTCTTCAACAACTTCAAGGATATACTACCGCATTAAACAATCTCTCTGTGTGTATCTACCAATTCACTTGCTCATGTGCAGTGAGCGAGTTATATAGGTCGTTCTAAAAAGAGTCAAACAACATCACCCCGCTTGGCTACGACAGGGTACCAGTGGATCAACATAGTTCAAAACCATTCTCAGTGGGATAAAGCGATTCACTGTTCGTAAGCTGCTGGACTTATTAACTTCTCATGTTTTTACGTTGTTCTTCTTTCCATACGGAGTGTAAGAACACTGAAGCACTGGGCTTCTGTGCGACGTTCTACACTGAAACTGAGTCAGTCAGGTGGACAGAGAGTAACCACAGTGTCAAATGCCTACGGCATCATGAATCCTGTCAAACAATTCACTGTCACAATCACCAATGAATTTTATAAAGGCACTTCAACATTCAACACTTATGAACACTTTGATGAATTGCTGTTACTCAATGGTTGAAGGCGATCACCAAGAGAAAGCCTCATCTGATCTAGATTTCACGCCTGTTGGCACTCACCTCCAGTCAACCAAGAGTATCTTCAATCTTGAATGATCTCATATCCCGCTCGTAAGATTTAGATATGATAGAGAAGATTTGTAGCTCAGGTGGATGATTTTGGTGTGGTTGTGTTCTCTGAGCTGGATAGTTAATTTGCGAAGCTTTCATCGCCCTACTAGGCAAAATCTTCATTGCATACTTCAATTTGAAGTGAGCTTTCAGATTTCTCCACGAGTTTGTGAATCATCTCTCCTGGCGACCTTGGACGTGATTGCTTGTTTTTGTGTGTTTTCACACCTTCTAGGCTACTTGTATTGGAACTGATTGTTTCTTTGACTTGAATTTTGACCCTTTGTATGTTAGGTTTCTTTCTTATCGGTTGATTAATTTTGTCTATCTCGATGTGTCTATTGATTGACGATTCACTGGAATACCAGGCAGTCTTCTAAAAATTCTCTAGCATTCTAATATTTGAACGTTGTCCCAGTCGAATTGATGTCCGTGGTTGTCTGTATGTAGTGATATGAGGGAGTGGATATCATGTCTTTTGACAGCTAGCTTATGTTCGTGGATACGAAGACGAAGAGGACGTCCACTTTGGTCAATGTAGTGTTTTTCGCAGTTGTTACAATTTATCTTGTAGATGATGTTGGTTATATCTTCCTTCGCTGTTGAGTCTTTTGGTTGACATAGAATTCAGTGAAGTGACTTTGTTGGATTGTGTACGACGTCAATTCCTAAAGATTTGAAGTGTCTTGTAGTGGTTTCTGAGATGTCCTTTTTAAAGGACAAAGGGTCAAATTTCAAGTCAAAGAAACAATGAATTACAATACAAATAACCTAGAAGGTGTGAAAACACACAAAAACAAGCAATCACGTCCAAGGTCACCAGGAGAGATGATTAATAAACTCGTGGAGAAATCTGAAAGCTTACTTCAAATTGAAGTATGCGCTGAAGATGTTACCTAGTAGGGGCATGAAAGCTTCACAAATTAACTATCCAGTAGCTCAGAGAACACAACCATATCAAGATCTCATATCCCTTCTGAGACTCCATCGTAACATGGTGGCCACATTACAAACTTGACTGACGGCAGAATTCAGTCTGCACCAAACAAACAATGGATTAGACACAAGATATTGGTGACTAACTTTTGAGTGTCCACTCACTGTACTCGGAAACACTATGGAAAAATTATAAGCTAGTCAAAACTTGTAATGACTTTATGTGAATAAAAGCCAACTGAACATTAGTGAAAAAGCTGAACCAACCTCATTTCGGTGACTGTCTTTTATGCGTTGAGCAAGATAGTGTTTTTCAATTGTCCAAGGAAAGACTTCCATCAAGCGTTCAACACAGAACTCTGAGTATTTTGGGTTCAGATCTATTCACATCAAAACAGGAGAGAAAAGATACAAAATCAAGAATATTTACATGACCAGGAATTGATGTCATCAGTTGGAGAAGCGTTGGAAACCACTAGGATGTAGTGAACAGGTGTTCCTTCCAAGTACATACTAATTGGCGTTCGATTCCAGGGTCTTCTGGTTATAAGTCAAGCTCGTAGACCATCCAACCTCTGAGATACTATTGAGTGACCAGACCATGAATTCCAACCTCTATCAGTGGTCCTCTGACTGATATCGGTCCATGCGTGGTGAAACTTCATAGAAATCGAATACCTGCAAACTAGCTGTTGGGAAACAATCTGGTACTCACTAGTATCTGCTAGCAGCAGATCGAAGTTTCCTGCACTTCTTGTATAAAAGCCAATGGTTGTGTTCACCAAGTGAGGATGAGATGAGGACGAATATTTGCCGATGAAACTGGCCCCTGTCAGTCACGCATAAATTCATGAATTCGTTGAAGTTAGAATATATGGGTTGGCAATTGAGTGAGTTCCTAGTGTCTGAATGGTCTACGAGCTCGTCTTGTAGCCGTCAAACTCTGGGTTCGAAATTTGGTTGAAGCGTACTGGTGATGAGTCCGAAACAATGACGAGACGGCTGTCCACTAACATTCCCTGGTGTTTTTAAAACCAAAGTAACTTATTTTGTGTTATAGCTAGCAGTAGTATCTGTGGTTAAGAGGTAGAACGCCAGCCAACCATCCCTCAAGTAGTTACAGCTTCGATCCACCCCTTAAACACTCCAAAACCTTGCCAAGCTGGTGGTAATGCAGGTTAAGAGAAAGGGTTGTGTAGAGTGAGACTAGCAACCCCACACCATAAAGATAAAGCCACTCCTTCTGTTGCACTAGGAACATAAAGAAAAAATTTGAATAATAAGGAGAGTCAGTTGGATGCACTTGCACCCTATTGGTTGTGATAGTGTTCCTCCGGAGACTCAGTTAACAGAGCCCACTGGTTCAAACACCTTAGCGTTCCTTATCCACTAGACTACCTCTTCACCAAGAAGTTCTGGACATTCAATTGTCTGTTCATCAAAGTGAAACCATAAAATGACGTAGTGTGATTATAATTTACCTGAGTCCGCTTCGTTATCCACTGGTACTAATTTATCTTGTTTAGTAAAAATGAAATTCGACAGCGGTAATAATAATTCCATAACGGCCATATTATGAAGTGCACTATAGAAGATAAAATAATAACAAAGTTTCAAAAGTTATTTTAGCTGTTGTCTCCATAACAAATAAAAATGTGCATAAAATGCTGCATTCTAACAATCCACAGGAAAGAAGATTCTAGTGGAATCTATTGTGAGGAAACGTGGATAGTGTTATTTGACGGTTGCAGGCAGTAGTCGGGAAAAAAGACCTGCCTGGCTGACGTAGGTGTCGTGCTTATTGGCGAAGACTAATGAGAAGGGCATATATGCATCTCTGAAGAGGGGAATTCATGCACTTTCTGAGATTGAAAGCGGCATCGCCCACTGTTGTATGTCGTCAGAGACACTACTACTGAGATATGTAGACTCGTGATTGACGACAATCAGTGGGAGAGTTGGCTCAGCCTGACGTAGATTTTGTGATTGTTGTTCAGCTCACCTGTCAGCAGGACATATCTGCAGTCTTGCTGGAACTCATACAATGATAATTTTTGAAGAGATTTAGGTGGAAGGCAAAAAACAGTCACTCAGGTTCATAGATTTATTGAACATTGGCCAAGGTAAAGAAAGTGACTGTAGATTAAGCCGTAGGAATCCATCTGAAAAGAAGTCAAAGTTATATATTATATTATTATTGTTTCCTTTAATTCCTAGAGGAAAATAGGGCTTCAGCCGTGCGTCTCCATTGAGTCCAGTTCTCTGCTACAGTCTTCACCTGGCTCCAAGTCTGCCCACACGTTTTCATCTCCTCTTCACATGACCTCCTCCAAGTCACCCACTCTTGCACTAACGACCAACTCGCCGCTTCCCTTTCGGGTTCCACTCGAGCAATGGCTTGTCTAGTGATGTCACTTGATGGTTTCCTCAGAATATGGCCAGTCCATCTCTATTTCTCCCTCACTATTTGTTTCACAATCGGTTCCTGCTGTGTTGGTTCGCTCATTGCCAGAGATCCCTCCCTGTTAATGATCTTTTATGACAGGCTATCTGATCTTGAGTATTGAGCGAAGACAGCTGTTGATCGATGAAGATCTGTAGTTTGTTTGAGGCGCTCTTCATGACGCGCCAAGTCTCTGATCCGTAGAGCAAGTAGCACTGACTTCACACTGGAGTTGGAAATCCGGATCTTATTTTTGATGCAGAGTGTTGTTGACCTCCACACAGACTTGAGAGTAGTGAAAGCTTGTCTTGCTTTTCCGACCCTTGCATTGATATCCTCGTCAGTTCCGTCCACCTGTAGTTGAAACGATGCTTCCCAGGTCTATAGGTAAAGTAGGTTGTTTCAATCAGGTTCCTCCCATTTATGCTGATTGTTGTCTGTTGTTGTTGTTGCTGTTGGTGGTGTTACTCGCGCCAGCTATTGCATTGACTTAAGTCTCCTTTCTTTGGCAGTTTGAATAAGTATCCTTTCTTCCAATCCTCGGGTACTTTGCCTTCTTTCCACACCTTCTCCAGTAATGGCATCATCAAGTCCACTGTTGTCTCTGGATCCATTTTTAATGCTTCTGCTGGGCATCCATCTGGTTCTGCTGCTTTTCCAGCTTTAAGCATCTTGATTGCTTTCAGGGAAGTCAAACAAATGTGTGCTCGAAAGAAATTAGCACACAGTCACCTTCCCTACCTTGACCATCTATACATAAATGTAAAAAATACTGACAATTTCAACCTACCGACCCCACCCCAACCACCCACTTAGGCCTTTTACAAGTTATCGCGGTACAGATCATCTTACTTTCGACTGACTCCTTCCTCTTCCTTAATTGCCTGTTACACAATCAACTTGTACACTCGCTTATTCCCTAATTACTCTTCTTATTTTTTTCAAAAATCATGAATTATGCAATCCGCTTGGTGTTTGTACTAATTCTCTTGGTTAATTGTCACCCCGCACCCTTGACATGTTGATACTGACTGATTAATGTTAACAAACATATCACCACTAGATTACCGAATCTACAATTCAATGAACACTCACCAGCAGAAATGGTGAGGAACCAAGCTGTCCCACTCACTGAAGATAAAACTCTTCAAGGCTGAACTTCGACCAACTTTTCCCAAAAAACTAATGGTTCCAAAGGAACGTAAAGGATAAGATACCATTGCTGGCCTCATCAGTGTGTGCCTATGCATTCACCTGTCGACCTGGCCAGCGTTTGCTATCCACATGTGTCATCGAACACTTAAACTAATGATTTTGCATGGAAGGAAAAAAATAGTTTTTGATGTAGTTGTGTTCCCTCAGCTAGATGGTTTATTTGTGAAGCTTTCATTGCCGTAGTAGGCAACATCTTTAGCGCATCCACATGAGCTACAAATCTTCTTTATTATATCTAGAGAAAAGAGTCCTCCACCCCCTTGTAAGCTCTATTCTGGAACACCCAATCGAATCTTGACACCAAACTATCCCACAAACTAACTCCAAAGTCATCTACTGAATACGGGAGTGTCTTGCTAAAAGAGTGGGAATCAAAACTTCTTCAAACTGCAGAAGCAATGGTAATTCACACATTAAATCGCGAACTCCACATCACACAAGTGACAGTTTGTTCATTCACTCAGCCCTACAATTGACCTAATCTGCCTTATCATTGGATATGTCAATTTTTTTTCTGGTTTTAAATTTTATTACCTTCTTCCAGAACTTGTGGACATTTCAATCTCATGTAAAGCACATTGATGTTTCAGTGCCATTGTATCCTCTACTATTATTGGTAGTAATCGATAATCACCTTCGTATTTAGTTTCGTTGAATAAATTTGCAAATAGATTTTCCCAATCCATCTTGAAGAATGAAGGAAGAATGAAAAGAAGCGGATATTTTAATGAAAATTAGGCAGATGTTGTAGGAAGATGCTTTTTAAAAAAATCAAAATATAAAAAATAAATTTCATCCATACCAAGTAAAGGAGACAAGTATCTATGTGGGTTAGGAACTTGGAGTGGGCATCTGTGGTGTCACGGAAAGCGCTTACAACAGGCATCAACAACTGCTCTCATCTCCACCCCCTCCCATCAGCTCGCCCGTTGATGGCTTCATGCTGAAGATCAGATGACTGGCCAATCAGCCAGAAATAATTATCAACAAGAATCTCTGGAGGGCGGGGTGGGGAAGGAAGACACCAATGTGAAACCTTATATTATTCAACAAATTTGTCAAAGGAAATGCACCAGGCCATCGCTTGAATGAAATGCCGATTGGAAAACGACGAGTTGGGCATGTGGTCGAGGGTGGCATGGAGGAGATCGTGTGAGAAGAAGGGGATGAGGGCGTTTGGGTAATGGTGAGGCCAGCTAAAGTGAACTGTAGAGAATAGGACGTAGAGGAGCTGATCTGTTGACGCCCCGTAAGTCAATTGTGCAGTGATATTATGATGGCCAACAACGCCTCACATTGCCGAGGTTCAATTCATGGCCGACGCATTCCGAAACCTCACTTAGACGTTGGTAAACCCGGTCAAGAGGTAAGATTGAGTGTTGAGACAGGAAATCCACCCATTTTAAAACATAACACTGTCTCTCCAGAAACTCAATATTTACATTATTATTGATTTCCGAGTGGAAAATATGCCTTCAACAGTGCATCTCCAAATTGTTCTATTCTCTGTGGTCGTGTTTAGCTGGCCCCAGGATTCCTCGTAGTCTTTCATCTCTTTCATGTCACCCTTGGACAAACGTCCAACTCACCAGTTGCTTCTCATTTAGGTTCCACTCGAGAGGTAACCTAATTGGTGTCTGATATAACCAAACTGACTCCCCAACATATGCCCAATCAGTCTCTACCTTCTGCTTTATATTCACTGAGCAGTAGAAGGATTTTGGTTGATTAGCTCCCAAGATTTCTGGTCGGCTATCCTCTCTGACCGGCCATATGACCTTCATTATGGAGCCAGCGAAGATGACAGCTGTTGATAAAAGCCCACTGTAGCCTATTAGAAATGCTTACCGTGATACATACACCGGGTTTCTGGCTGACATAGAAGAACTGACTGACTGAATTACCATTGTGTTGATAATCGCAATTGGCTTGTTTATGCTGAGTTCAACGGAAGACTTCCAAAGTGATTTCCGAGTGATGAACATCCGCGTTATCTTCCCAATCCTGGCTGGTTTTGACATCTTCATCCGTGGAGTGAGCTGTATTTGAAAAGAGGTCTTCCTGGATAAGTGAAGAACTTGACCTCATTCAATTTTATTCTCTTGATGATGATTGGTGCTTGTTGTTGCTGTCGTCAGTTGGTTTGTTATCTTCATCACCGCTGTCTTCTCTATATTCTCTGAAGTCCTATCTTCGCTGCTTCTATTGCCAACTTGTTGTAAGTCTTCGAATTTATATGACATTAGACAGAAATCGCCCAGCGTCAAGTCCAAATCTTCTAGAGTCGCCTCACTACCACGCACAGTCTCCCACATAATCCAGTCCACCACAATCAGGAATATCAACAGCCATAGTAAGCAGGTAATCTTGCCTTACTCCCGTCTCCACTTCGATGGCTTGTTTGCTGAGTTTTCCGTTGTGGACCACCTGACACGTGCCACTGTCATGTAGCTAGCTGTTTAATGAGGTTGACAAAGTGTTTAGGCAACTATGCTGCATTGTGTTGCAGTAATTTCCAAATTACTTCACCGCCGATGCTATTGAAGGCCTATCCAAAATCGATGAAGCTGAGATACGGACATGACTGCCATTCTACGCATTGTTCAATGATGACGATTCGTAGAATTGACACTTTCTCCGCACAAGATCTGCTTTTCCTGAATCCAGCTTGTTCCAGAAGTGTGGATGGAGTTCTGCATCCAGGGCATCTTTTAGTAATTTCAGGGTGACGCGACTTAATATTTTGCTTGTTGCTTATTCTTTTTGGTCAGCCATATGATCTTCATTATTCAACCAGAGAAGGCAGATGCTGACGAAGTTTCATGGTCTGAAACACTGACTTGTACATGTAAACGTATCCTTCGACTGGGCACTAGTTGATAAGTGACTAGTGTAAGGTGTGTTTAGGCCTTTGTCTTTTCGATGCAGACTAAATTCGACCAGTCAGTCAAGTTTGCAATGTGACCACCACAAAACTGAGTGGTTCATCATCATGGTGAACTCTAAATTGCTTACAACAAGTGGATTGCAGATTGCATAATTTTGGAAAATTCATGAGTAAATAAGGAATAAGTGAGTGCACAAGTTGATTACGTAACAGATTAATAAAAGAAAATTAAAACGATTTAGACAATGATAACTTGTAATTAAAGATGAAGTAGTCAAAAGAATAAAGTAACTTGGACAGTGATAACATGTAACAGTCTGTTACGCAACCAACTTGTACACTCGCTTATTCCTAACTTACTCTTCATTTTTCCAAAATTATGCATTATGCAATCCACCTGTTGTAACCATTACTACCTTTTAATTGTATGTATTAATTTTCTTCGTGAACTCTGAATTAGTGTTATTGGGTGGTTGGAAGCAATCGCCAAGAGGCAGCCTTAAATTTACGTGCATGGACACACGATTAATATGAGCATCCATATGCCAAAACTCCCGGTCACGTGAAATTCCACAACTTGGCCTCCAAGTAGCTAGATTACAGGCATATACCACCACACCCAGTCACTCCTTCAGTGTACTGTTATTTCTCTCTGTCAGACCATTCGTTTGTGGAGGATGATATGGTGTTGTTCTGATCTCCTTGATACCCAGCTGTAGCAAATAAGGGGGGATGAAACCTTCATTTTCAAAACAAGGACCCTGATCTGTCTATATCGCGTTTGGTACACCGTTGTCTGCAACGATGTGTCGAACTGTTGAATGACTCACGGCTCTCGGACGTTGATCAGCAGTCCTGATGGCATCTAATCATCGTGTAGTGTGTTCCACCATCACCGAAAGGTACTGATCGCCACTGTGCATCTACGGAAACGGATCCATCACATCTACTGAATACAAGTCATCAGCTGCCGTAAGTGGAATTGACTGCAGAGGTGGTCGTATGCACCGATATCCTTTCATCGACTGGCACTGCGGACATCCAAGTACATATTTTGCTACATCTTTTCTCATACCTGTTCAGTGCATACTTTGTCTCAAGACGTCGATTGTTCTGTCTACTTCTGTAGGTACCAGCTGGTGGCATTCTTGTATCATCTCATGGAGTAGAGACTGAGGTACTACCGCCAACCAGCTTGCATAGTCCTCTCTCCAAGTCAGAGTTCCGTAGGCATTCACCCTTAATCGGTCGATCAGTCTGAGTAGCGTAGCAAGATCCTTACTCGCCATACGTTGATTCACTTCTATTCCATTAGTGATCACCTGTATGACTGTATCTCATGTAACTCACCTTCGTCTTCCGGTGTAGACAAAACGTCTACGTCATACTCCTGCAGGCGTAACACCCACCGTGACAATTTCCAACGTGCCTGTTTGCTGGCAGCCACCACCAGTCATCAAGGTGTATATCTTCAATCTAGAAGGAACTCATATTCACCTACCTATGTGAAATTCAAACGCGTGTCACTCAGTGCTGTCTACAAGTAGAGAGATTATCACTGAGAACTATTCAGGCTAGCGACTGACCACCTGTTACAATATATCAGACACAATTTGATTGAATACAAATGAATGAGATTTAAATAATTGTTTAATTGTTGTTATTCTTGTTGTATTTACCGGTGGACAGATGGCCTTCAGTTCATCCATTCCAACTACTTGTCTTCCTTTATTTGAAGGATGTTTTTTTGCAAAATACGTATTCTAAAATAGATACACAAAAAAGTAAATATGATTAGTATTCGCATACGAAATTATTTACACTGATAAATTAATGAAAGAGCTTTCAAATCACGGAATATACACATTTGATTATAGGGAATAAAAAGACAGTTGCAGCGAAGAAAATTTTCTTTTCGACGAAGTCATCATCTAGGCTGTACATTCGTGTATTTAGATCAAATGGATGGGAAAGTTCGAGAATAATTTCCGGTTAGGGGTTAAATTAATGAAAATTACAATTAGGAATTGGAATGCCATAATAAACAGGGGGACGGATAAAACTTGAACAAAGTAGCATTATAATAACTAAGAAGATTGACATTGTGCAAATGGGGGTTAGAAATGTAGAAATAACAAAATAGACAGGATGTTTGGATAAAAGCTAGTGTGATGAATAATTGCTTATGCAATCAGGGATTAAATATGTAGAAATAGTAAAATGACAAAATAAACAGGAAGTGTGGATATGAAAATATGGTAGTGTAGACAGGGATTAAGAAAACTTAAAATAACATGAATAAACAGGAAGTTTAGATAAGAAAGGCGATGAGATGGTCATTATTAAAAAATTTACCTGTTTATGATGGCCGTGGCAGGGACAGGGGTTGGACGTATTTCTTTTGGATACAAAGAGTGGGTTTGAGTTTTTGGATAGCTAACGCCTCAGCTATGCCCAACTGTCTTGATTTCACTGCTTTTGATATGTTTGATCGAATCTTGTATATCACTTTGAAGGACTTTTCGAAAGGCGCTGAATGTCCTGAGTTGACCAGATGTTCTATCACTGAACTGTATACACGTTTTTGCTCTCCTTTTACCAGCCAGGCTGGGTAGTGTTCACGAGCGCCTTTTTCAAGTCGGCACGTGGTACGGCTGATGTACTGAGCTCCACAAGAGCAAGTGAACTGGTATATGCACGTTGAGGTGGCCCGATGCGACAGCTTGTCTTTCGCGTTCTGGTTCTGGTTCATTAGGATTTAAGCAAAATCTTATTCGGCTGACCCTGCATGGATTTTAT